CCAAAATGTGCTTTGCTTCTGTCCTATTGCAACCAGCCTGTTCGAAGCAATTGGAATAGCCTGTAATCCCAGCGAGTCTTGCCTCTTCATCGACAGCGCATCGAGGAACCTGAAAGCTGACCTACATCATAACGGGAACATGTTTTCTCTTGCTCACTCGGTGCAGCTCAAAGAGGAATACAGTAATATCACTTCTTACTAGATGTCTTGAACTATGAAGATTACAGTTAATACGTTACCGGAGACATCAAAATGGTGGCCTTCCTGATAGACCTACGGGCGGATCTACTAAGTTTCCGTGTCATTTGGGCCTTTTTGACAGCAGGGACACCGCGGCACACTACCACAGAGGAGATGGCCACAGCGGTTCAAATTGAGTGTGGGGTGGAACAAAGTTAAATGGGTGCCACTACTGTATCCCTGTAAAGTATTGTTTACTAAACTGCACTTAAAATTGAGCCTTGTGAAACAATTTCACTTATCTCTAGATAAAGATTCTGTGACCTTCAGTTACCTTCAAGACTTCTTTTCTAAGCTATCTGCGGTAAAAGTCAAAGCTGTTGTCTTTGTCGAACCACAAATAAAGAAGCTCATAGAATGGAAGGAATTTCCTAAGAAACTCTCTGGAACGGAGAGGAACAGGTTTGTCGCAATGGTTCTGGGCTTTATAGAGAATCACAAGGTCGAAAACTATGTGGAGCTTGTTGATACCCTTAAGAAGAACAACGAAATGGGATGCAGGATGTCCCTCAAAGTCGACACCCTTGACGCGCATCTTGATAAATTCAAAGAGAACATGGGGACGTACTCGGAGAAGCAAGGCGAGCGCTTCCACCAAGGATATACTGAACTTTGTGTTGACCATGTTCACCATAGTCTATGAATATAGAATACATCACAGTACGTAATCTGTTCAATGAAACAACGTTAAAGATTAACACTCACGAGTCAGACACTCTACTGAATCTGACTATATCGCCAATACCATGAACAGCTGTTCCGTATTTCTTCAGTTTTCGATATCAAAGGCTGGCAGTGAATATTCGGGAAAAACATGGCCGCCTTTATACACGTTGCATTGAATATTTTGAGCCTTCTGATTGGTTAATCTTTCTATTGGTGAACTATAAGATGAGTCAGCTCATTTTGGCTGGCTCACTAGTACACCAGGGTACCCCAAAATTCCAACACTTTGAACGCCGCTTCTAAGGACCGTATAAGCAAAACATGACGCGAGACTATTTGGGCGCTGATTCGTAAAGTATAAGCGCAAATAGCGAAAAAATACTCAATTCTAAATTTTTTGTAGTTTCTCTTGTGTAATCCTGTAATAAATAAATGCTACTCTCGATCATATGTCTTTTTGTTCCCCGCTTTGTGTAAACAAGAATGTTCATATTCACCTTTTTTTTTTCTAATGGGAATACATTATCCTGGTCACAAAAGCAGAGTCTGGAGGATAAATTAGTTATTTTCATACTTTTGGGGCGTAAGCAAATAACAGTTGATAACTAAGTACAAACCCTACGTGCTAGAGAATAAGAGATGGATTTCAGGAAGCTTTGTGTGTGATGGCTCTTGAAATGAAGATATTGTTGTGTGTCTGTAGGTTTGTGGTAGATATCTCTGAATATGTGGTTGTTTTAATTTCTAATGAGTTTATATAAAAATGGTAATTCGTTGAAATTATGTTCTTGGGAGATCTCTATTTTTGGATGTAAGTTCTGAAGTAGAGTGTGGAATTGGTTAATTAGGGTTTGTACTATAGTGACTGACAAACACCACCGAAAAACCTGTCAAGAAGAACTACATAAAACTCTAAAAAAAAAACAAAGAAAAGCGAGGCTACCACACAATGCTAATAAACAACTCTCAAAAAAATCCTTTTGACTAACTACGAAAACCAAAGAACAAACAAACTCTAGCATATGTCCCAAAATACAACAAGATCAATCCAAAACTATTTACAGAAATTACAAAAAGTCTAGATCTACTTAGCAAGAATGACAATCTGAAAAATATACTAAAAACAACCAAAATAATTAAAAGCAACCGCTAATTTAAAAACTTGAACCACATATTAACCTCATCCAAATTTAAACAACACATAACACAGGTAGTCACAAAATACAACAAAAAAGTTGTGGGGTTTGTGACATCATTATAGAAGGAAACACCTACACTTTTGAAAACCCAAAAACGACATTCATAATACATAAAAAAATTTAAACCGCAACACCAAATATGCGATTTATGTACACAAATGCAAAAAATGCAAAAAGTTATATATAGCTATCATCGAACAACTAAACAATAGAGTCTCCTTCCACAAAAGCAAAATAAAATTACGAGACAACAGAAAACGCTTTGTATCACAGCACATCTATAAATGTAATCAGGGTGAATTTAAGATTATGCCAATATGTCAAACAGACAATTATTCTTACCTACAAATACAAGAAATAAAAAACTTCATAAACAAATTTAAACCAGCAATAAATAGATCATAACCAGACACGCAAAAACACACAACACAACACATATTGGCCAAATACAGTGGTCAAACCACTCGCATCCATGCGCGCACACACACACACGCGCGCGAGCGCGTGGGTATCTGTGAAGCACGAATATATATATACATATATTGGCAAAAAAAATAGACTACTCACAGGCATACACGCAAATCCTACACAACATAGGAAATGTGCGTATGTGTATGTATAAATGCATGCATATGTGTGTATGGATGTATGCGTGTGTATATGTGTGTATACTAATTCCTTATAATTAGGTAGTATGTATGTATAGAGAAGGAATACTTGTATACATACGCACACTGATATATATATATATATATATATATATATATATGTGTGTGTGTGCATGTATGTATGTATATGCATATATTGGCAAAAAAGACTGTTCACAGGCACACACAGGAACTAGTATAGTAAGTGTGCGTATGTGTGTGTATGCGTATGTGTGTGTATATTTATGTATGTATGTATATATGTGCGTATATATGTATATACTAATTCCTTATAATAAGACAGTATGTATGTATGTAAAGGGGATATACATATACATACGCATGCTGACAAAAACAATGCAAAAAATGGAAATGAAGGAACACACAAGGATCATTAAAAGATAAGAATACAGATATTTTTCCCGCCCTTTCTCACGACAATCTTAATTTTTTTATTACTCATCACGCAGAACTTTCTCACTGCCAAGTTAAATATCTGTCTATATTTCTGAGATGCGGTATTATGTACACTATTTACATTATTCGGACTATTGTCCTCATCTTCAAAGATGAGGACAATAGTCCTAATAATTTAAATAGTGCCAAGTTCAAGGTAGACATTTTGTGTCACTAACATACAAGGAAGAGAATAACATCGAAAAAACATCAGAAAAATAAATTCCTTTTAATAATATGAGGAAATAGCCATTCTTTGACTGATGAAGGTCGCGAGACAGGAAACTGGTGTAGCAAAATTATGGAAAATAAAGCATAATAATATATTTTTTTTAAACCCACATTACAAGGAGAAACGTTTGCAGTTTCTATCTTCTTTTTAATATATATACTTTTCTCTCGCTGGAACAACTATAATTTTTTCCCTTTATACACACACACACACACACACACACACACACACACATATATATATATATATATATATAAAACAAAATGTATAAATATAAGTAGATGTACGAGCGAGCGATCGTATACAAATACATATGAATACTCTATAGTGTAAGAAAAACAGTGTTCAATGTTAAATAACAGAGCTATATATAAGAGATTACAGTGTAAGGTATCATATATATATATATATATATATATATATATATATATATATATATATGTGTGTGTGTGTGTGTGTGTGTGTGTGTGTATAAAGAGAGAGAGAGAGAAAGAAAGAGTTGAGTTAGATTTTTATTTTCTCTTATATATACATACATACATATATATATATATATATATATATATATATATATCAATTTTTATATCTATCACTCCCTATCATCTATCTATCTATCTATCTATCTATCGTGTTCTTATTTCCCCGTCAGTTTCTTTCTATCTATCTATCTATCTATCTATCTATTTCTATCTATCTATCTATCTATCGTGTTCTTACTTCCCTGTCAGTTTCTTTCATCTATCTATCTATCTATCTATCTATCTATCTATCTATCTATCTATCTATCTATTGTGTTCTTATTTCCCCGTCAGTTTTTTTTCTATCTATCTATCTATCTATCTATCTATCTATCTATCTATCTATCTATCTCAGATATTCCTTAATGTTTTCATTCTCACTGTCTGTTTCAGTGTGTTCCCATCTATTTCTATAATTCAGTTTTCTCTCTCTCTCTCTTCACACACACACATATATATATATATATATATATATATATATATATATATATTCATGTATGTAGGTATGTATGTGTTTCGGACTGATTATCTCTATCCATCTAATCATTTCTCCATCTCAGCTTCAGTCTTTGTGCTTCAATAATCAATCTTGCAAATCTAAAAATTCCTCCGAACTCATTACAAAAGCCACCATTCAGCCAATACATTTTGTGGCTTTGAGTTTGGAATCGAAAATCTCTTATCTATAACCCCTGCTCCCTTCTTATTTTCATCTCGATCTAATTTCATTCACGGTTTTTTTTTTCCGTCAAACTTTTATCTAGCTTACTTTTTTCTTTTTTCTAAATAAGTTCAGTTCACCTTTTTTTTTAACTTGTATTTCCGCATGCAATGCGATCAAGGTTTTTCAGTAGTCTTTCTTTTTCTTTATTTGTTTAAATAATACACGGAACCTGCAAACTTGTTTTCAGCCACTGCATGAGAACGGGACGCTTCCTTACTTTTCGAGTAGTTTATCTCAGCAGGCCAATGCTATATTATGCTTATGCCGAAGGGATTTTTGGAAATTAACTTCTCTGGAATTAGATAGGTTTAAAAAAATTCATGTGAAAAGAAGAGGAAAAGGGAAAATGAATAAAAAGGGAAGAATTACGAATTGAAAAAGATGAAAACTGAAGTACAGAGGAGAGTTATATCTGACGAAAGAAAAACAAGAAGGAAGAAAGTGGGGGAGGAACAAAGGAAATAGAATAACTAAGAAAGGAAACAAGAAAGAAAGGAAATGGAAGGAAAAATCGAGAAAGAAAGAGAAAAGAAAAGTGGAAAAAACAGAGAAAAGAAGCAAGAACGAAAGGAAAAAGAAAGAGAAATTGAAAAAAGAAGCAAGAAAGAAAGAAAAAGAAAGGAAAACTGAGAAAGTAATACAGCAAGTAAGCAAGAAAGAAAGGAAAAACCTGAGAAGGGAACAAGAAAGAAAGGAATAAAAACTGAACAGCGAAGCAGAAAGAAAAAAAAAGAAAAAAAGAAAGGTAACAAGAACGGAATAAAAACTGCGAAAGGAAACAACAAAAGAAGGAAAAACTGATGAATGAAGCAAGAAATTAAAGGTTTAAAAGAAAACGTAGCAAGGGCGAAATGAAAAAGAAAGAATAACTTAGAAAGAAGGAAGAAAAGGAAGAAAAAAATCTAAGAAATGAAGCAAGAAAGACAATGCCCCCAAAAACGAAAGGTAGCAAGAGCGATAGAAAAAATAAAGAAAGAAAGAAAGAAAGAGAAAAGTGGGAAAAACAGAGAAAAGAAGCAAGAACGAAAGGAAAAAGAAAGAGAAATTGAGAAAAGAAGCAAGAAAGAAATAAAAAAGAAAGGAAAACTGAGAGAGCCAGACAGAAAGTAAGCAAGAAAGAAAGGAAAAAAAGAAAAATGAAGCAAGAAAGACAAGGCCACCCCAAAAACGAAAGGTAGCAGGAACGAAAGAAAAAAGAAAGAAGAACTGAGAAAGAAAGCAAGAAAGAAAAGAAAAAGCCTGAGAAATGAAGTAATAAAGACAAGGCCTCCAAAAACGAAAGGTAGTAAAAACGATAGGAAAAAGAAAGAGAAAGTAAGCAAGAAAAGAAGTTAATATAAACTGAGAAAGGAAGCAAGAAAGAGTGCTAAAAAGAAAAGTAGCAAAAACGAAAGGAAAAAGAAAGAAAACAAAGTAAACAAGAATGGAATGGAAAATAACTGAAAAATGAAGCAAAAAAGAAAGGGCGTTAAAAGAAAAGGTAGCAAGAACGAAATGAAAAAGAAAGACAAAGTAGGCAAGAAACGATGGAAAAAAATTAAGGAAGGGAGCAAGAAAGAAACGAAGGAAAAATGTAGCAAGAGCGAGAGGAAAAAGAAAGAAAAACTGAGAATGGAAAGAAAAAAGTAAGGAAAAAAAACTAAGAAGTAAAACTAGAAAAAAATGGCAGAAAAAAAGAAAGCTAGCAAGATTAAAAGGAAAAAGAAAGAAGAACTGAGAAAGTATGCAACATAGGAAGGAAAAACCGAGAAGGGAAACCAGAAAAAATAATGAAAGAAAGAAAGAAAAGTAGCAAGAACGAAAGGAAAAATGAGAATGGAAGAAAGAAAGGAAGCGGAAAAAATGGGAAAGGACACAAAAAAGAAAGAAAGAAAGAAAGAAAGAAAGAAAGAAAGAAAGAAAGAAAGAAAGAAAGAAAGAAAAGTAGCAAGAACGAAAGGAAAAATGAGAAGAAAGAAAAGAAGCGGAAAAAATGGGAAAGGACACAAGAAAGAAAGAAAGAAAGAAAGAAAGAAAGAAAGAAAGAAAATAACGAAAGAAAGAAAAAAGAAACAAAGAAAAATAAAAGAAAAAAACGAGAATGAAAGAAAAAAGGAAAATAGGAAAGAAAGCATGAAATAGTGAAAAGGAAAGAAAAACCAAGAAAGTAAGCAAGAAAAGAAAATCTTCGAAATCATGCAAGAAAGAAAAGTGAAAGTCAGAAAATTGACAATTAAAAACATTTTTACTGAACATTTAAAGTTTTCCAAGTCCTCATGAAGAATTAAAATCTGTTTAGTCCGTTTACTGTGATAAAAATCTTAAATATTATACATTGCTTATTTTTAAAGAGTGATTATCTTTGGGGTCACATGATTGAGATATTGACTGAATTTAAATTTAAAATTGAGAAGAAAGGACTAAGCATCAGATTTAAGAAATCAAAACGAGTGATTTCCAGCAAAGGGCACAGTCCAAAGTGCAAACTACAAATTGCAGACATCAAGATGAAAAAAGACCAGACGATATTAAAAATGAAGACACGAATCCTTACATAAATATTGAATTATCAATATAATTCTCCGTTGCTTCCTAGAGCTTCATTCCATTTGTCAACAAGTTTGGAGATGACACGTTTGTAAAATTCATTAGATGTTAATGTAAATTACGAAACCAACCTCTTATTTTGATGTCAACAAATGGTTCTGCGTACCTTTAAACCAGTGTTAATCAAAAAAAGCAAAGTCGAGAGAATATGGAAAATGAAACATTTAATGAATCGAGTAATATCTTAATCTCTGTTGACTAAGAACGGATGTTTTCTGTCCAAAGATGCTTTCAAACGACGAAGTTGATTGTTTGATTATTTGTCTAACAAATCATAATAGATGATTCCTTCAAAAGTCCACCATATGCTCAACATGATCTTTTGTCGATTGCTATGTAGGCCTGTTTTTTTTTTGTTTTTTTTTGATAGATCTAATGACGACGGCGCTTAACGCTATGGCAAATGACCCATTCTTTTCATCACCAGTAACAAACGTGTCTAAAAATGTCATTTGAAGTTGAAAGCAATGAATCGCCAAAATCGACACGTTGTTGGCGATTCTTTGGAGACATTTACAACCACTGAAACCGTTCCAATCCTTTTCAATTCGCGTATGAATAACATTAAATGTATCACTGAGTTCCCCCAGCATATAGCGAGAGGATCTGCTCACTAAATCTTCTGAATCCGGTTCTTTTTGGTAGACCTTTGGCTCGTCCTCTAGACTAAAAATTCCCAGTTTTGTAACGGGGAACTACTTGTAACAACTTTTTTTTTTCACTCGACGCATCGACTCCCCATCGTTTTTGCTGCGGCACCTGTCATCAATATGAAACTGATAGAGTACATCATATAATGTGTTCTTTTCTTTGAAGGAACAGCCAGCTACGTTAATGCAAAGCTCTACAGTAAAAATGAATTGGAGCACTCCGGCTGATTAGCATTTGTTTACATTCGTAAAAACAATACGCTAGATTTAGTTGTTTCACTCTGTCGAATGAAGATAGCTCTGACTGATCGGTTGGGTTTCAATCCGGGCTTGAAGTATTCAAGTGTCTAGTCGCACTGAGAAGCTGTGATACTGCGGAACAGTACTGTCTGCGAGGGATGGACACAAAACACACACACACACACACACATATATATATATATATATATATATATATTTGTTGGGAAAATGCCAACATACATATATGTCTGTGATATTTAAAATTATACATGCAAATATATGCATATGAGAGAAAACTCTTTCGATGTTACTATCAAAATACCTTTAATTTTAAATTATCCTTAGGACGTTAACTCTAAAAATCATTGCTTTGTCAACCGTCATCCACTTCTTCTCATTTTTTTTTGTTTTTATGTATATATATTATTCATAGTAGCATTAATAAACAACATGAAGGGGCAATACTTCAAATAAATTCTGTTAAGCATTTTAACTTCAAAATTCGGACGGGACATTGGTTCCAAAATCATACAAGACGAGTTACACCTATGGTTTCACCTACCCGTAATATTTACCCTTTGAAGAGCCAACAATGTTCAGTCTTGTTACCGCAATAGGTAGAATAAAAAACAAATAGAGAGATGGATAACACTGACGATAAAGAGAGAAAGACGTGAGAGTGCTAAAGAAGAGATGGTATGCTGAAGGAAAAACGAAGGAAAAAAGTGGGGATGCAGAAAGAGGAAAAGATGGAGATCGTAAAATAGGATAACACTGGTGTGAATTACCTGAAGAAAAATTGGTAGGAAGTAAGGGAGAAAGAAAGAAAGTGAAAAAACAAACTTGAAAAATAAACGTGGGAAGAAAGAAAAAATGTTTAAAAAAATAGATGATAAAAAAAGAAAGAATGAATGAAATAGAAAAAGAGTTAACAAAAGGAAAAAAAGAGCCGTGGGTATCGAAGGTAAAATGAAAGTGACGAAGAATAGAGATACAATAAAAAAAAAAGATAACGTGAAATAACACAAAATAAACGACAACGATAGAATGGAAGAAAAGAAAGAAGAGTAAGGAGGTTACCAAAGACGAAGAAAAGGAGAGAGACAGCGAAAAGATTTGAAAGGGAAAAGGAGAGAAATGAAAAAGAACGCAAATAAAAGAGTGATGACAAATTAAAGAAAAAAAAAATGACAAACTTCGTAATTGAAAGAAATATCAGCTCATTATGACCCAGAGTCATTTTTTTTTTTTGGTGGGGGATATAGGTATAAACCTATAATTAATACCATATTATTATAAACTTCTAATTTCTAAGGGATTGTATGGGTGGAAGATATCAGTGGGTCAATGTAGATAATTTTACCATATAGTAGAAATTCATAGAGCATTGCACACTGAATGATTATGCTTCGAATATTGCTGCCATGTATGTTCTGGTGTTCCAGCTATATATTTGGAGATTCTTGATAAAATCCAAATAAGAATCAGCAATATTATTGGCTCTGGGCTGATGTCTCGGCTTCAGACACTTTCCCACCACCGTAAAGTAGATTCCCTATGCATTTTCTATAAATGCTTTCATGGAAATTATTGGATGAGCTCTTCGCAATAATATCTAAACTTTGTGAATTTAAGCGCAGTACTAAGTTAGCAACAAGTCTCATCAATTTAAAGTTGCAATAGAAAACGTAATGTAATTTGATATATTTATCATTCACGCATACTTAGATTTTTATTTGAGATAATGGGATACTCCGTTGTTATAGTATCAAGTACCATTATCGAGTATATGCGAGTATATTTTGTGTTAGCAGCATAACAACGAAATATCTCATTAAAATAATGGAAAATCAGGATGCTGATGCATTGATAATTTTTTTATTTTCTTGTGCGTTAGTTGTATTTGGATATTTTAAATTAATGGTATTAAAATTAATGGTATTCAAATTAATGGCATTGAAATTAATGGTATCAAAATTAATGGTATTAAAATTAATGGTATTTATGACATTAAAATTAGTGACATTAAAATTAGTGGTATTAACATTAGATATTAATTAATGGCATTAAAAGCGTAATTGATTTTTTACTGGAATTTTAATTGAGCCGTTAAAAAAGATAGATTACCCATACAGAAAATATAAGCGATGAAACATTAGTATAATATGCATTTTTCATGTGTTTTTTAATGTTTACGTTACAGTGAAACGCGTAATGTGGTAAAAACGAGAATGGATAGTGAGCCATTTAAATGACCACAACTCAATCTGCTCTAAACAGAAGTTTGAGAAAAAAGCACTATAGTTTAAACAACTTAAATGATAAAATATGAATTAATTTGGAAAAAAAGAAGGAAAAAGGGTCGTAAAGAAAGTATCATTTTAATTATGATTATAGCAGCACTGTAATGAGGATATTGTTGACAGGGCACATTAATTGAAATTCTTTAAAAATTTGTCCAATATGGAAGATTTCAAACAGCCCTTAATTAAAATTTCTAGCACCTGCCGATTCGCCATTGTATTGCGAAAGTCACCTTATCTTGCGAAGCGCTCAAAAGGTTCCCAACAAATAAAAGGTCCTTGTTTATCCACGCTGCGTCAATTTTCTCGAATTCAAAAACGAAAATTAAAATAAAAATTTAAAAAAATGATTACCTCAATAATTGAGAGCTGCTCGAGAATTTGTTTGTTTATTGAATGCTGTGAACGTTTGTGTTTCCGCTTCTTCGTTAATCAAATCTGTGACGTCACAACCAAAAAGAGAGAACAAAAAACAAACGACAACTTCAGAATTAACAACACTTCTAATAGCAGATTTCCCTCTGGACTGGCATCTATTTTGATGACCCTGTCTTCCTTTACACATATACGCACAGCTAGGCATGCACACACACACATACACGTGTGTGTGTCTGTGTGTGTGTATGTATATATACAGACACATATAAGGTTTAATCAAGCGAAAATGGCAGCATGCTTCATTCTATTACATTCTTCTCTGTTGTGCATAATTTGTTGCAAAGCGGATTAAATTCATGTAGAAACAGTTCAAATCCCGTTCATAAATTCTCCTGACATCTCCAAAAGTAAAAAATATATAGAATTAAATAAAAATTATAAAAATAACAGCAAAAACAACATTGAATTCTTACATTGGTCACTCAACCACCATACTCTCTCGTAGGTTAACTTGCCATTTACGAAAACTTAGTGCAATTAGTAAACATCAACCATGATATCGCAAGCCACTAAATATTGACTATTAACATGTGACAAAATTTACTAGATAATACTAACACAACAATAACATCTGATACAGTACTCACTGTAATGAAACAATCAAAGTACTCGAGACTAGCATTAGATAAAAGGAAAAAGCCACATTAACCACAATATATTCACCAGAGAGGGCGATATTTTAAAATGGTCTTAAAAAATATAATGTCTTCGTTCTCAAGCGCTGTCAAATTTTGAACTCCCTGACTCATGTTATAAAAATCTTGTACCATTACATATACATATAATACTTTTTTGACATAACGTCAATTGTATATTATATGTACACATGCATATTTACACACGTATATTTAGATTTGAAAAGTAGCGTTCCTGGAAATGATAGGATGAAGCAAATAAAGAGTTTTCTCTATGACATTGATAATGTTAACGTTCTTGACCGGAAATAAGCGAAGATACTCGAAAAAAATCACAATATGAAATTTGGACAGTTTCATTTTAAATATGTTGCAGATACAGGAAAACTTATTCACTAACTGGGGAAATGCAAAAAAAAAAAATGAGAAAAAAGAAAGAGTTTGAAAAGTTAAAATATTCACATATTTAGCATACACTTATAGTAAACAAGATATTAAATAATTTAGACCAAATGAAAAAAAAACTGTTATATAGAAATAAAGTGTCCCTGCCAACATTTGAGTTTGAACATAGATCGCCAGTGAGCAAATACGGGTGATTCCGTTATTGAATTAAGTAGACCACATGACCATCGAGGAAACGCATATATGAAAGGTAGCATTGTCTAATTGATCGCTATTTCTAGTCTATCCTCTATTACTAAACGGACCACTATTCTCTACTCAATTCCCTATACTATTTCTCTTTTCGGGTCACTATACAAATAACTATTCGAGGAAGTATTCTCGAGCAAGTACTATTAGTGCGAATGTTATTCGAAGGCGTCTGACACCAGTATTGTTCAACGGCGTTACTATAGTGGTAACTGCGATTATAAAATCTCTACTAAAACGAGGATTACGAAAATCACAGCAGGTATTCTTTGACATCAAAAAAATGTCATCGAGTGTTCATTGACAAATAAAATCTACGGTTTTTTTTTGTTGTTTTTGTATGGTTTGGTGTTTTACGGCATATCAACCTCAAGATTTTTATTGCTGGTAATATTTTGTTTTGTCATAAATCTATTTCCGGTAATATTTTTCCTTCCAAAATGTATCGCTGGTATTTTTTTTATTAAAAACGTATTGCTGGTAATATTTTTGTTTTGTTTTTTTTCAAAATGTTTGCTGGTAATAGTTTTTCCTTCAAAAATTCTATTTCTGGTATTTTTACACTTTCATAATGTTTTGGCTCTAGTTTGGGGGTTAATTATTTACCCATAGCTGTGACCCTAACAGATGCTACCACCCGGGGTCAGGGTGGACCTGGGAACATCAGCAATTAAAAGGTAGTTCCACGCTCCTGAAAATCTCCTGATCGGGGACCTTGCTGCTGGACGTAGTTGATCGTCTTACCCAGGACGAGGATGTAGTTTATCGTCATACTCAGGACGATGTTGTATGGCGGATGACGGCTTTTTGGTTGGACTAAGAGCATTCGAAATCCTTCTTTTTGTGAATTACAGGGTATTTCTTACGGGTCAATACATATAATTAAGTCAGAAGGTTTTTGCTACATGTGAAGTAATAAGACAAAAATCGGCTTTGTAACAATGTTTATTTGTTTAAATACTAAAGTTAATCCAGAGATGATTCATCCAGAGTTACTCAAGGTAAAGGGTTACTGATAAAATGCTTATGATGAATGAAGGGTAAAACATGAATGAAAGAGGAAGGGTAGACATTGGTGACTATGACGACATGGTGGACAACTAACGTAGTGTTCATCCACACAGGAGTCTGTCCCGCAAAATAATAGTTCTTGGAGGGGAAAGTTATTTTAGTGGAATTTTCTCGATACATTTGACTGACAGGGGCAATGAGGATGATTCAGTTCCGTGGAAGTAGTATAGAGTGTTCTGTCAGTAATGATCTGAACTAGTGGAACAAAAGAACGAAACTCATCTGCCATAATGCAGCAGGAATGGAAAGTTCTTCCAAATGTGCCATATAGTCTTCTAAATGCACATGATTTAGTTTTGAAGAATATTTACAAGAAAAAAAAACTATGAAAATTTATGTTCATAATTTAGGCTAAATCTACGTGGAGGTGACTCAGCATTTGGTCTATATACGAAAATCTGGCCAAAGATCGTCTGCCCGGCCAAGACGGGAGTCCATGCAAAAATCGTATATTTGGTCATTTCATGAAGTGGATCGGTTCAACAACTATTCAGCGCCTCTTTGTATTTCTTTCTCTCTCTCTCTCTCTCTCTCACACACACACACACACACACACACATTAGCACAATGTCATCATCATGATGTTGTTTTTTTCAAGACAAATATAGTAGTGTCTGTCATTTTCAAAGACGAAATTGCTGTGTTCATCTGAAAGTTAAGTATTTTACTATTGAAGTGAAGAACGCTGAGTTTATTACCAGTAACTAAGTATCACTTCAGGGGAGGTAACTAGGTTATGAGTTGTCGAGAGTTTTTTGTTTTGTTATTTTTCTTTTTCCTTAAAAAAAGTAAGTATTAAAACTATTGGAACAGACTTTAATATTTTAAGTTATCTACTGTACACATTTTAAAACATTTGTGCAGTATTCATAATTATTTTTTATTAAGGTTTGGTTTCAAATTTTAATAAATATAAATTCAAGTACTTTTAGCTTATGTTAAATATATACATGAAAAGTATAGATGTATTTTCATCAAGAATTTTTTCTGAATTGCAAATGTGGACAGGTAAACTGTTATAAATGTTTAGAAATGTTAGATGCATCATTCAAATGGAAACTCGGCCACCGAGAAAACGTGGTCGTAGTGAAACTCAGAAGCAGTAATTCGAGAATTGCTAAATCGTAACTTCTTTGTGGCTGAACGGTCTGACTTAATGACTTTTCTGTATTGGATACGGGTTCAATTCCTGTCAAAGGGCGCATATTTTCTACGAAATTTCTCGAACATTCAGGCCAGTAAATAAAATTATTACAATTTAATCAAAATAACTGACCACTTATTCAAATCCGTGTATCCAGAAAAATAAGTATAAACATAAAATATTTTAATATGTGTGTGCACGTGTGTATTACGTATGAGTAAAATTAAATGTTCACTTCTCCCTTGCGACCTTTAAGAAGAATATGATTTTTAAAGATAGAATCAATTTTGTAAACAAATCTCCTGAAGTTTGGATATTCTACGTGAACAATTAAAAATTAGTATTAAAATTATTCTCCATGATACACACGGAAAAGAAAAGATAATTAATATTATCTATCTCTATCTATAAAAGGCAGGATGTGTGTGTGTGTGTGTGTGTGTAACGAATGCACGGCCGCAATTTTCGACGGATTTGCACCAAAATTTAAATGCACATGCTCCAAGTTAGCGGCAAGGCAAAGACGGATTTTTCATTTCCCAACTCCCATCGATAGTGAAAATAATCGATTTTTTCATGCTTCTACGGCAGTTTTCATGTAGTCTGCGGCCATTTTCTACTGGCCAGAATGAGAGCCTATGCCTGGCTGCCACGAATAGGCAGGAAGATTCTATTGGCCAGCATGAGAGCCAACAGCTGACTGATACGAATGTTAACTAGCATGCTAGCATTCAAAAAATATCGATAGCTGCATTCGTCACAAGTGGAAAAAATTTAATCTGCATGGCACTTTACTCCAATTGTTTTATTCGCTTGCTTAAACACAACGTTGATTCTGATTCTGCAGAACTGGGTTGGGTGTGAAAAGGTATTTGTTGTTAACATT